GCTGAAGAGCATAAGCATGAGCTTCATCAACAGCCTTTGCCACATTATTCAAAATGCGGTCATGAGGAAGGTTGGTGTACATTGTGGTGAAATCAACCGTGCGAGGAGAGAGGCCACGTAGAGAGGACACATTGTTTTTCAGGTCAATCGACACATTGTTTTTCAGGTCAATCGCCACCTCATCGGCACTCTGGACGATCCAGCACCGTCGAACACCTTCCTGTTGATAGAGCTCCGTGTCTTTCTCACGAAGAGTAGAGATCACGCCTTGCAAAGCAGTGCTGAGACAGGACGAAGTAGCCGTTGTGCTAGCCAAGGGTTTGTGAGGAGGTCGTTCATGAATGGTGTGAATAGAAGGACGAGAGCGAGTGCGTGGGGGGACAGGACAAGTATTTTGTGCTGTGACTCCAAGAATGCTGCGAAGAGCTGGAGGAGACTTGTGGGCTTTCAACACGTAGTATAGGTAAGGCATGGTATCAGTGTGGGTATAACCCCAATGGTGATTCCATAGTGCATGGTGGTTGAGCACATCAGCGACGGATTCATGAGGACGAGTATAAGTGGGACCGTCCGAATGGGTAGAGAGGTGAAACAAATACCAATTCTTGCAACAAATCGCCAAATTGTGGGATGATTTGTCCACAGGAACAATGGCAAAGTGTTGTTGCAGATGGCGTAAGGAGGCATGTGCACAACGAAGTGAATGTTGTTGGCTCACATGATTGGAAGACGAAGTCGCATTGGATTGACAATGCCCAAGGATTGCAGAACGCCARCTGTGCAATTTCTGAGAAAGGGACGAGAAAGAAGCAAATCGARAGTGTCTAGCAAATGTATTCTTGTAACTGGCAATGTACTCATCGAGTCCGATCGCCAGTGCTTGGAGCACATCAGCAGTCTCCCCGTTCAAACGATATTTAGAACCTTCTTGAAAAAGCTTGCGAAGGTTATCGTCTGAGATGATATTGTAATCAACAGAGACAACATGACCGTCCACAAGATCTGAACAATGCGGAAAGGCCCTGCGGCATTCGCAGTTCACGGAGTCTGGTAAGGTCATGTCAGGAGCAACACTCAATGCCACATCAGTAAAGTTGCAAAATTGGACACGTGTGGGTGGCATCAACTTGTTACATAYAGGAACATGTGCGGCCGCTTGCGGGTCAGGGTGCAATGCAGCTACTTCTGGCAACTGCAACACATGGCGCAAGTTCGTGGCACGAACTACCTCATGCACATGTACGACCTTAATATGGTCAGTAAACGGGTCACGAGGTTGTGCTGTGTAACGTTGGCGGGTATGCTGGGATTTTCGGATGAGGCATTCGAGTTCTCGAATGTCTGCTGTCATGTCCGCATTGGAAACATTGTTATAAAGCCATTGCAAAAGTCGTGCCCGCCACGCTGGTTGTGCCCGCTCAATGTCAGCCTTGACACGACACCAGTTACCCGAAGCAGCTTCATGAAGAAGGCGATGGAGTGAGGTACGAATTATGAGTTGGGGACCTGGACGAAGATCAATAGCRAATAACGGAGGCGAAGGCGTTGGGAGGAGAGGCAAAGGCCGAGAGGGTGTTGGCAAAAGAGGTGCAACATGGGAGCCAGCGGGTGTCGGCAAAAGGGGTGATGTGTGAGGAGGATTAGCTGATGCAGGAATAGGTGGAGCAGGTGAGGGCTGAGCAAAAGGGGGTGTTGGCAAAAGGGGTGATGTGTGAGGAGGATTAGCTGATGCAGGAATAGGTGGAGCAGGTGAGGGCTGAGCAAAAGGGGATTGCGGAACGAACGGCTGAGGGCCCATTTGTGTCCATCGGGAAGGACGTAAATGCCGTTGTGGAGATGGCAATCTAGCCATTGGAAGGACTGCATTGAAACCGACTGGGTGAAGCGTTCGAAGTTTTCGAACCCAAAAACCCTCGCGGGGTGCAGCAGCCCTCTGAAAGAGGCCATGATCAACAAGACCTCCAGACGTATGATACAGGGTAGGATCGATGCATATATATATATATATATATATATATATAGAGAGAGAGAGAGAGAGAGAGAGAGAGAGAGGGAGCAGCCATAGCTGCCCAGCGCTGGCAGAGGGAAGACAGCCATAGTTGCGCCTGTGCTAGTAGTTAGTAGTAGTCTTCAGAGAGAGAAGACACCGGGAGGTTGCAGACACAGAGAAGACCAAGAGAGAAGGAGAGAAGTACATCGGGAGAGATACTTACCTGAGTGGAGATTCTGGATACTTGGGTTTGCACTGTTGAGCCCCTGTGACTAAAACTCTTAATTGGTTGTATCACGTTGTATGATAATTTGCTGGAAGTCTCAGTTGTGCGTACCTGGTCTTCATTTCTCTGGCCTCTGGTGTGAACTTCGTGTGATCTTATTCATGCATGGTGTGTGATTGTGTACGTTCACTGGTGTGAACTGAGAGGTTCTTTGCAAGGAGGCTGCGGACGCCAAAAATCAAAGAGCAGCGGATAGATAGCCGAAAAGGACAAACAGGCAGCACCTTTGGCGTAGGCCAAGATACATGTTAGAGGTCCGGTAGACCTCGGGGTATGTACTGGCCTGGGTAGAGCAAGTCTAGAGCCTATACAGGGGAATAGCAGACTTCAGTTATGTTCCCATCAAATGTAGGCCAGGGACCTGGTAGGCCGAGACGCTGGGTAGCTTGGGAAGTGGCCATGGGGGAATGCAGCTGCAGTGTAAGCGAAGACGCAGTCCTGCACTGTCACCTCATTCTTTGTGCAGCAAGCCGTGAGGCTGCTTGAACGCTCGCCAGCCCAGTGTGGTGCTGGGTGGAGGAAGAAGTCGGAGCTGGCTCCCTCGCTGACTACGGAGGCGCCAGGGGGTGTGAAGCTGTGGTTAAGCAAAGAGGCAGCCCTGCACTGCACCTCATTCTTTGTGCAGCAAGCCATGAGGCTGCTTGAACGCTCACCAGCCCCATATGGTGCTGGGTGGAGGAAGAAGTTGGAGCTGGCTCCCTCCCTGGCTATGGAGATAGGCACCAGGGAGAGGAAGGAGGAAGACATGGTGATGGCGGAGGAGTGAGGAAGATGACGGAAGGTGGAGGAAGAAGGAAGAAGGAAGGAGGAAGAAGAAAACGAAGAATTGAGACTGAAGGAGGAAGCTTACCTTGGCTATGGTGGACGGCATCTTCATCTCCTTGGTTGGCACTGCAACTGGAAGGCCCCTGAATAGGGTTATGAAGTCAAGAGGACTCCGAGTAGTAACGTAGGGTTGGTGGTGGAATTGGCAGGGGCAAGAAAGCTTTGCATTGCCCTTCCAACGTCCGGGCTAGGCCTGGATGCTGCCGCCATAGCCAGATGCTCAACCAAGTAGTGATAGGAGGTGTAGGTAGTCAATGGTGACTTCTTGTGTTGCCAGCGGTAAGGGGAAGATTCGGACATTGATTCTGGTTACTTCATCAATTGCTAATGTTATTATCATTATTATCAAAAATAAGATGTTGAGGAAGTTGACGAGGGAGAGAGATGGCGGCAAGATGAGGGAGACGTGACATTGGTTCCAGCTTGTGTTCTTCTTCTTCTTCTACTTCCAATTTCCATTCTTCTTCTTTGTTTTTCTCTTTCCAATCTCTCTCATTTCAGTTGCAATTGCATGACATTGTCTCTTTTTGAGTTTTGCACTGTGAGATTTCCAGAACCATAAAAGCCCTCAAGTCCACTGAGTTCAGACCAGTGTTTTCACCTCTGACAACGCGCTCTTCTTGTTTGCACTCTTCTTTTCCCCGGATATGGTTGGTTGGTGGTGTGCACTGACAGGCATGCAGCATGTGCCTTCCATCCTTGTTTTCGAAGAGGTAGGGACCATAGGGTATTGATCTGTTTACAAACAATGTGTGCAGTACTGTACGCCCTTCTGAAACATGGTCTGGGTGCATATGCTTACAAACTTCTGAGCAACAAACAAAGCAGCCATAGATCACACTAGATCATGCTGAACACGGATTGGGGTTCAAATGGGAACGTAAAGTCAAATCTTGGGCTGACAACGCATGCACTTGCTGACTCGGGTAAATGGTCCAGAAGGGGCCAGGGGTGGAATAAATGCATAGCAGAAGTCCGCATTCACTTTACATTTTAGCATAATTAGGTCCGCATCTGCACAATCGTGCCTGTCTCCATCGCCTACCTCTGAAAGCCTGCCAGCCTCAGTCTGCCTTTGGACATATTCAAAGGTCATCTCCATAATGGAGTCCATCTTGTCTGCCATCGCATCCAAGGTTTGCAGACTCTGACTGTTGAAGGACTTTCCTCGACCCTGCCCCTTTGCAAGGATCGCCTGCAGACAGTACATCCATCACGAAGGGCCACACCAGGCACACCAAAGTGTTCAGTGTTAACAAACTGGCATGCACAGATGTGCATTCAGCTGCGAGAATGAAATAGACAGGGAGGGTGCAGTTGACGCTGCACGAAGCACCACATGTACACAGGGAGGTTGGCAAACAGGCTGGGGTTGCGGGGGGGGGGCGTGCAAGGTTGGGGGGGAAGAAGGCTGAGACACATCCTGAACATAAAGACAGGCAGATAGACATACATTCAGACAGACAGACAGAAAGGAAGATGGAAAGAGAGAGAAAAGGACTAACTGTCTTTGGATTGTCCAGTTTTTCACGTCCTCCTTCAACCTGCCTCACTTGTGCGTGTGCTAGCAGAAGCGGTGAGTGTGGTGGTATATACACATTCAGGAACGCATCAAGTACATGTCAGATATGACCATCTACTCTCGAAACCAGATATTCTTTCCGATTTGTCATACGCAGCCTGTGTATACACCAACAAAAGGGCCAAGTCATCAATTAAAGTTGAATCAACCAAACTGAATCACCTACCTCCTAGAACAGGCAGCGACAAATTTGCAGAGTGTGTCATAGCGAAGACTACTAGTTACTAATCAGGCTTCAACTTTTTCTAGGAAACCATATTATGCAACCAGACTCTTCGCTTCGACCTTCAGCATGCATACGAACAGATGACGACCAAACTGGCGACTCGTCGCCCACACAGAGCTCAGAGATAATGAAGCCAAGAACGCAGCTCAGATTCAAACTTATCTTGGTCTGCTATGGCCGACAGGTACACTCTCAACTACTTGTTCATACACACTAGCTGGATCTCCATGGATGTCCCGACACATATACACACACACACACAACACACACACACACTAACACCTATCCTGCTGACGTGACGGCTATGGCTGTCGTCTTCCTCCTACACTAACACCTATCGGCTATGCCCGATCTCCCTCCTCTTAGCCCTCTTCGTCTAACGGGCACCTGCAGACCTCCTTGCACGAGACGCTCAGGCAGCGCTTCCGCATGGCTCACAGGCAGAATAAATCATGACTTGAAGCTGCCTCCTGATTTATACTTCGGATTGTCAATGGTCTGCCCTTGGACCCTGGGCCTGGGGTGCACACAGTCCCACATGATAGTTGCTGACTTGACAAAGTACGACCGGGACTGGGTACCGCTGACTAAGCGAAGTTGGACTGCCAATTTGCCCATTGCCCCTACGCTGACTCTTAGGATCCTACGAAAGCTCACCTTCCGGAAGTCTGTGGACTTTACCTTTCCGGACTATAGCAGATATGACCCTTACTCAGTTAAGACTCCTAATGGACAGACCTACGGATCAAGACCACGACCACTCTAGGCTACAACAGACAGCAGGCGACTATCAAGACACAGGTCGAGGGTTCAAACACACACAGGGCACTGATACTGTACACAGGTAAGGACGAGGTCTAGGGTCGAGCCCTGGGAACAGCATCTGCTACCGCAAAGGTGAACACCGTTTCACTCCTGCCGGCCTAAATTTGAGGTCCTCCGAGAATAACTCAATCTACAATAGGATCTTTACCTTTCTTCACTCTTTCATAGGCGCGGACTATGTCGAGGGCAGTCTCTAGAAGTTCTGTCCGTGTAAACCAGCGATTGTCTTCCGGCTCTTGGTAAGCAAATCTGACTTTGTACTGTTTCTGTGGACGACCTCTACCTCCTTTTCTAACCACATCCTCGTCTACTATGCGATCAATGTCGTACCTTCCGTCCATATCCGGAGGGATCATTGACCTCCTCGATGGAAATTGCTGACTCGTCGTACAAGGTAACAACTTTGACACATGGGAAACTGGACACGTATGGAGGTGTGCTGGGATCTCTATCGTGTAGGAGGCCACGGTGCTTATTGGCTTGCTCTATCATCCGATGCTGGGCTTTCCTGAGGTTCCCCACCACTTCAGCAACCTCTTGCTCGTGCTGTAATGCAAACTCCCTGGTTCCGGGCAGTAGCCTGAATCTGGTCCCAGTTTAGTCCCTCAAACGGTCTGCGAGGTCTAAAGGACTTATGTAGTTCCTTGGGAGTGTGACAAGTGGCTAAGTGAACATTGTTGTTGTACGCGCTGGCTACCTTTGAGATCATCTCGTCCCAGTTGACTTGATCGGGTATAATGTACATTCTACAAACTCGTTGTAGGATCTTGTTCATTTGTTCAGTCTGACTGTTGGTCTCTCGATGACGGCCAGATGACATTAGCAACTTGGAACCATACACTTTCATAAGTTCCTGCCCGTTCTGACTAGTGAACCTGGTATCTCTGTCACTAACTATTGACAGCGGTAAACTATGCTCACTGACCTAGTGATCAAAGAACTTCTCTATTACTAGATTTGTACATGCCTCAAAAGGCAAGGGATCGAAAACTGCGTATTTGCTAAATCTATCGACTACAACCGTGACTTGGTTCTTGCCATGCCTACTCCTGACCCCAGCATCCACAAAATCTATGGACACAGAATCTCCGGGTCCCAACGGGATAGGCAAGGGTCGAAGAAGACCCAATGGGGCTCTCGTCATATTTTCGTTGCGTTGGCATACCTTGCAACTACACACATACTCTATGCAGTCAGCTTTCATGCCTGGCCACGTGTAGGCATGCATCAGGTTGTCGAGCGTCTTTTGCCAACCGAAGTGCCCTTCCGTATCGTGGCATTCCCCTAGAGGACCAAACTACGAATTTCCTCACTGTTGGGAATGCATAGCCGATCTGCGACGTCTGTCTTCTCAAACAACAACCCATTGGTGGTTCGGTAATGCGGTTGATTGGTTGGGTTCTCCTTAACTCTCTTCAGGAGGTCACTATAAATAGGGTCCTGCGCATATGCATCTTTGACTTTCTGTTGTAAGTCTGACCCTATATCCAAATAGTGAACTATAGCACCGAAGTAGTCGACTCTTCTACTGAGGGCATCTGCAACCACATTCTACTTTCCTTTGACTAGCTTGAGCCCGAATTCAAACTGATCTAATTTTTGCGGCCCACCTAGTTAGCTTTGGTGTCATCTTGGCCTGTGTCTTCAGCCACGCCAATGTCTCGTGGTCTGAATAGACTCTAAAGTGCCTCCCAAGCAAGTAGTGCTTCTAGTGGTCTAATGCTTGCCTGAGAGCGTAGAGTTCCCTCTCATAGGTCGATGTCGCTACCTTCTCTGAAGGCATCCTAGCGGACATGAACTCTATGGGTCTATACCCATTGCCATCGTCGTGCTGTAAAACAACACCAATACCATACTGACTTGCGTCAGTTGTAACAACGAAGGGTAAAGATGGGTCAACTACCTTGAGGACTGGGTACTCTATCAAGGCCCGCTTTAACTTCTTCAAGGTCGACGCACAATCTCGATCCCACTTCTAGATGGCCTCTTTCTTTCGCAATCTGCGAAGGGGAGCAGCGATGGCAGAGAAGTTCCTAACAAACTTCTTGTAATAGTTGGCCAATCCTAAGAATGACCTCAATTCTGTGAGGGTACGCGAGGTTGGCCAGTCTCTGATCATTGCGATCTTACAGTCCTTGCGCTTTATTATATCTCCATCTAGGATGTCGCCCAAGTACAAAACTTCCGTCTTGGCCCACTCACACTTCTTCGCGTTGATCTTGAAGTTAGCTTCTCTCAGCTTCTCCGAGACCTGCCTCAGATGAGCCTCATGCTCCTGGAGGGTCTTGCTAAAAACAAAAATATTGTTTACATACATGACTACAAATCTATCTAACCACGGCCTAAACAAATCATTCATACAGTGTTGAACTGTGGTCGGTGCGTTGGTTAGTCCAAAGGGCCTCATGATAAACTTGTACTGCCCATATCTAGTCCTGAATGCCATCTTGTACTGATCATCACATGAACCCCTATCTGATGGTACCCTGAGTTCAAGTCTATCTTAGAAAAGTACTTGCAACCCTGCAACCGATCTAATAGATCGCACAAGCGGTTATCGGGTAGCTGAAAATTCAAGAATAAAAATTCTGAAGTGAGAGTTTTGGGCAGTCTGAAAATCCTGAATGGTCCTGAAGTGGTGAAAGGTCCGAAGACCTTGAAAACCACCTGTTCAGGCAGGCTGCATCCTGAAGTGGTGAAGGGTGTCCTGAAGTGGTGAAGGGTGTCTTGAAGTGGTCAAGTGAGAGTTTTGGGCAGTCTGAAAATCCTGAATGATCCTGAAGTGGTGAAAGGTCCGAAGACCACGAAAACCACCCTTATCACTTGAGGATGCAGCCTGCCTAAACAAGTGGTTTTCAGGGTCTTCGGGGCTTTCACAACTTCAGGACCATTCACGATTTTCAGACCTGAATGGTCCTAAAGTGGTGAAAGGTCTGAAGACCTTGAAAACCACCTGTTTAGGCATGCTGCATCCTGAAGTGGTGAAGGGTGTCCTGAAGTGGTGATGAAAAATACAACTGTTGTTAACCTTCTCTCATAGATCGTCTATACGGGGCAACGACTCTGCATTATTCACAGTAACGACGTTAAGACCTTTAAATTAATGCACATTAGAAGCTCTCCCTCTTCCTTGGGGACAAATAGAACAGGCGCTCCAAAAGGATTCCAACTAGGCCTAATCCATCCCTTTTGGAGGAGTTCATCTAACTGCTTGTGCAACTCCTAACTCCTTGGGAGACATCCTATACACTGCTCCTTTGGGAGTCTTACTACCAATCTCAATCTCAATGCGATGCTGGATAGGACGCGAAACTGCTCATGTAGGAGACTCTGGTAGATCTGCGGATTCTTCCAGCAGCTTGGCAATAATGGGAGTGGTGGGCTCCTCTCTTTTAGGCTCGGTAACATGCCTAAAATAGGCCCCAAAAACCTGTTCTCCTAGCTCCTTGACTAATCGCGGGAACGCGGGAGAGACAACAATGTGCCAGAGGATTATCCACTCCTGACACAAACTCCTTGGGAGACATCCAATACACTGCTCCTTTGGGAGTCTTACTACCGG